TACAGATATGTTTAGTAGGTGGTGCGATATTTCAAGTTTGAAAAATGTAAAATTCCTGGGTGCGGAAAAGTTGTGTCTAAGTATTTTACTCTTTTCACAAGAAATTATTGGAGTTAGTCTGCCACCTCCCCAAGGTCAAATCATTTTCTTATAATAAGAGTGGTGGGGAAGCTGGATGACGAATTTAATCAGTTTGTATTATCTCCCTATATAAGAACTATCTTTCGATCAGACATCTTTATACGCAAAAGTTAGAAAAACGTAAAATGTAACATGATTTTTGAAAAAATCATTCAGAGCTTTTTTTCGTAATATTAAGTGTGTAAAACAAATTGAACTGAAAATAAATTAACTATTTATTTTAGTACACTTGGCAACACTTATTGGTAATTGTAGAAACTTCATGTGAACTCCCTCTAAGGCATTAAGGCCCGTATCGTCAGTCGTCCCTACAATTGTAGGGCGCCTTTATGGCCTCCTTGATTGTCATAGTTTTCTACTTCTCGGTGTCAGAACTCTATTTTGAGGTTATGTCACAAACATCTATTTGCATCAAATTGTGCTTGTTTTTGAGTTCTATCATGTTTTGTCAGCCTGAAATTTCCCACAATTTAAAAAGAAAACATATCTTCACAATAGGAGAGCGCTGACGTTGACACGGGACAAGTGTAATCTAGAAATTTTTGAAGGAGAGAAAGGAGCATGACAATCAAGGAGGCCATAAACGCGCCCTACAATTGTAGGGACGACTGACGATACGGGCCTTAGTCCAACACCTAGATCGCAAAACATCTGGACTTCGAGCATCTAACGGTCCTATCGGGCAGATGCTACTGCGTTGTGAGAATCTGCCCTTTTTTTATACTCCAACTACCACGAAGGCCTAAGGCCTAAACACCCCCTTTGTCAAATTCAGACGGATTGGATCAACTCTTCCAGATATGCGGACCAGCGTTGTAAGTTGCGATCAGAAATACCTTTACGATATTTGTCAAGTCGTTGTAAGTGGACCTAGAAAACATGCCAAAGCGTGATCCTGGAAAGCTTAATCGCTCCAGATGGCTAACCACAAGTGATGAAATCCTCAGGCTTTATGTAGCTACTAAAGACCCGTCGGATAGTTTGGTAACATTATCGACATTTGTAATAAAAGTGTATGCGCTGATGTGGTTTAAAATCAAGCAGAATTCTTCTTGCATTTATGTATCAAAGCATATTTTTGATACTATTAAACTATGTCCATATTTGCCAAAGGAGTAAAGAAATATAGTTTATAATTTCATTCAAATAAACGGTCACTTTAGTCATCCCGAAATCGTTCTGCTAGCTCTATGCTTTGGGATGAAAGAAAGTATATTAGAAAACTTGCCTATCATAGAATGTTAAAAGCACGAAATCAAATAAATAATGATAAACACGTTCGCAATTTTATTATTTCTAAGTTTAACTTTGATTGTGAAGAGTATATTGGGTTATTAAATTGGCAGACTATTCAATGCAACGAACCTGCCATTACAAAAGTTTATCTGGAGAGGATTTAGCGCAAGTCGTAGAAGATCCTAATGCTTCTGCGATATCATACTGTAAGGATTTGCCTTGGCATGGCCAAGCAATCGAAAGAGCGATAAAATTGGTCACGCAAGCATCCAGTTCGGTTTGTGGTACAAAGAGAAGGTATGGGATTATTCGAAACACTTTGGACTCCAAAGCAAAAATGCCAAAGCCACTTGGAGTGATAAGGGCTGGTAAATGAGATGTATGGAGGGATTTGGCACTGGTAAGTTGAGAAGAAGAAGTAGCAGACATAAACAAAAATATTTTTAGTCTTATATAGAAACTGTATTTTTTGAGAGGTGTTGGGGAGGTAGAAGGGGTGATCCAAAATAACTGAAAAAAAAAGATTAATTTTCTAATTTTAATACACATACAGGGATTTTAAATTTAAAACATATTTTTTCCACACCTATATCATTCAACCACCCTAATGTTTAGTTATTGCCCTTTCATTTACTAGTGTTAAGCATAAAAAAATGTCTCGAGTTCGAAGACGTCCAAATTATCATCCTGTTAGCGACTTTGACAGGGGTAGAATTATTGCCTATCGAGCACTTGGTTTGTCCTATCGCGAAATTGACCACCGTGTTAATTGTACTACAATGACGGTAATGCGTGTGTGTCGTGTGTGGATAGAAGACGGTAGTGTTACACGAAAAAGGCCAATTGATCTACCGAGGTGTGCCGCACAGAGTGTCAAGGTGGGTGCTTCAAACAACTGGTCTTACGAGACCGTTTTGGTAATACGCAACAGATCGCTGGCCAATGACTTGGAGAAGAAGATAGACCTGCTACCATGAGTACACTCTGTCGCAGCATTCGAGCCTTTGGACATTTTTCATACCGGCCACGGTTAGTGCTTCTTCTGACTGCGGACCACTATCATCAACGTTTGAACTGGGCAGAGAACGGCAACATTGGGATGCATAATGGGATAATGTCATCTGTTCAGGAACGTACGATGGTCGTAGAAGGGTAAGACGCCACCGTGGAGAACGGTGTGATATTGGATTTGCTGTTGAGAACCATGTACACAGGACTGTTGGAGAAATGGTTTGGGTGGCTATTGCCTATGGTAGCCGATTACCCCTTCTCTTTGTTCAACACAACATGACTGCTGCGCGTTACGTTAATTATGTCTTACTAACCACTTTATTGCCGTAGAGGGTCATCCACACGTCCCTTTTCAGCAAGACAACGCACTTCCTCATATTGCTCGTCATACTACGGACTTTCTTCAGGAAGCAGACGTTATTTTTTTACCGTTTTTAGCGATTTTAAATCCCATCGAACATGTGTGAGATATGATGGGGAGGAAACTATCCACTTTTCACCATCCGTCACAGACTCTGCTTCAGCTAATCCACGAAGTTCGATTTGCTTGAAATGAGGTGCCACAACCAGACGTCGATCATCTTGTTTTGTCGATACCTAGACGTATACAGGAGTGTATTCAGCTGCAGACTCGCACAACGCATTAATTTTTTTTTACTACTTGTCAATAAAATTTCGTGAGAATGTTATCGTTTCCCTCTTGATGTAAGACTACCACATTGCCAAAAAGTCAAGTTGAAGAAACTATTTTCTGTGGGTTTAACACTTCTAATGTCACTGAGTATATTTTCTCGATTTTGGATTTTGAAACTCCGCCTACCAAAGAAAATTGGACCAACTGCCACTCTTTGAAGGCATGACCCTTCTTGGGAACAGTCGCAACCTAGTGGAAGTTATTGATTTTGATTGAAAGTAGTCAAAAATATTTATTGGAAATCTGTCAAGTGCAGGAAAATCTAGTGTACCATCCCTAAAGGACACTAATCACACATCATATAAAAAAAGTGCTCTGCATAGAAATTTGAAGATAAATTATAAGTAATTCTATGATAACTAACATTAACTAACGTCATTAAAAATACAAAATATTGGGTACACATAGAACTGTCGAAAATTGGGGATAGAAAATAGGAGTAGTTTTTCAGACTACTTTTATTTAAGAAAATAGATGAATATTAATACCATATGCAAATATCTTCTAACGTATTCTTATCACCCACTAATGAAAAATAATGAGTTTTGCATGGAGATTCTGATAGTTTAATTCAAAGGTAAACGAGAAATAATTCTATAATAATTAATATATACTGAAGTCTCTGTCTTCATTCGTTATAATTTTTTTGCGTATTTACCATTCTCTCACTGTCTTTCGTCACACTTAAATCGTCATATCATTGAGATACACAACTTTCAGCATATAATTCACCCACACCGCGGCTGCTATGATGATATTAAAAAACTTTGTTAATCCGATTTTGAACTGCCTAAGGTTAGTAGAACTGGGAAAAGTCTCCTCATGTAGAGTGTTCTACAATCTCGATACCCTAGGGTCAAAGGAGCGGTCGTATTGGACTATTCTGGATGTAGGGAGTTCGACACGGCAGCAGGTGCAAACGTTTCCCGAGACTGTCCGTTAGAAAAGAATCAAATCGCATCAAGCATGGATACTGTAGTCGTGGCGGCAGCACCCCAAACATGTGACGAATACTCGAGGCCAGGTCTTATTTGGGCCTTGTACAGAGTGAGAAGGTAATGTGGAGAAAAGTATTTCTTAGCTCTAAACAAATAGCCTAGTTTTTTCCCAGCAGCTGCCGCTATTGACGAGATGTGTTCGTGCCAGATCAAGTCCTCGGTGATCTGGACTCTGACCAGCCAAAATAAATGCTTCTAGTTCGTTAAGATACAGGAAGCATTAAACTGTACCCGATTGTTGCGTACCAAGCAGTGACAACCTCCAGGTCTCTCGTTAAAGAGGAAGTTGCTGCTAGTCTTCTTTTCTCCAGCTCACCAGCACAGATCGGCTTGTCAATCTGAATTCCTACATGTAGGCACTGTCATCAGTAAATCTGGGGATTGGATTGACCGTACAGGAAGAAATATGTTTATATGTAACAGGAACAATGTTGGAGCGCAGACCGATCTCTGGTAAACACCCGCATTGACGCTGTGAGATAAAGAAGAGAACCCGTTAACTACGACCGATATCTTGCTCTCAGGGGGAAAGTCAGCCACCCATCTGCAAAGCTTCCCGGAAAGGCCATAGAATGGAAGTTTGCATAAGTGACTATTCTCATGTTCTGCTCTAGATGTATGTACCCCCTGTATAAAGGGATGCAAGGTATCCCAAAGTATCTTAATGCCCCGCGCTCGTGTAAATACGTTTTGTCCCCCACTATTATAAATGCTCCCAACCTATACGTTTGGTGGTTATTGTTTACATTTAATGTACGAAAAGTGGGACGTATTTGTTTATATAAACCATGGGAAATTCCATTTTATAGAAGACTTTGTAACAATCTTCAGCTCCTTTCGCTTTGTCTGAGAAAAGTGACATTAGTTAACCTATTACAACTTGCAAAAGTATGCGTCTTTGAACGAATTGCGTAAAAGATTTTCCAAAATATTCCTTTTTTAGGGTCCACTTAAGCAGTGAATTTAATATAAATAAAATTTATTCACATTCAATGAAAGACACATTTTGTTTTACAATCGTTTCACAAAACACTATCCTACTTCTTCCCATATTCGTAGACTGGGTCAACGGAAAACCCTCTCCTTCCGACGTCTCTTGCAGGCACGACGTCGACAGGGGTACCATTTGGTATCCTTCCTCCATTATATCTGCCATCAGGCAGAGGACCCGCAGCCCTTTCTACCGAATATCCTCTGTTGTCAGGGTATCTCCCTCTTCCATCAGGCAGCGGTCCTGCGGCTCTGTCTATTTGCACCCTTTGGGGAGCTGACAGTGTGACTTGCAGCATAGATAGGACTATCGCCACTAGCAGAAACTGGAAAGAGATACGATAGCTTCAACACTAGTTTACATTATTTATCTGCCGCATTACACCCATTGCTCAAGTTTACAATATATTTCGTTAATAGAAAAATACCTCGAGCTACCGTGTTGCCAAATATCACTAAGGTCCTGTCAAAACAAAGCGCGACTGACTGTGAAACAGTGGAACCTTAAAGCCTGGGCAGGCAGCGACAGGTGAACAGAAGCGGCGATCGAGTGCTCATGTTTGTTTTGATGCTGATGAATGAGGTTTAAATAGGCTTCGTGGTACGTATTCTGGAAACCTGCTGCAAATATGTATACGTTTTATTTCAGTTCATAACTAGAATCGATATGAATTTCTGTAATACATCAACTATACCAGCTAATTGCTATGATCTGATCAAAATTAATGATTATTTCATTTCTGGGTATTAGTCCAGGACTATTAGTCGAAAAGAAGGCTAATCTGCTGAAAAAATCCCACCTGGCTGATTTTTTTACCAGAGGTTCTTTCCAACATTACAAATCATTCCTCAAAAGTCCCCATGAATCCAAGTGGAGCTTTTCTTTATGGGTCGGGGGTCAAATGTCACAAAAACACTATTTTCCATATATCTTCGAAAATATCAACTCTACGATAAAACGAGTCATTACCTTGTTTGTTCAGTATAACATACTCCACAAGAAAGGTTGAATGCATTTTCTTCGTAGAAACCGCCAATTTACAGAAAATTGCGAGAAAGTGTTGTAATTGACAAAAATCAAAAATTTTACGTCAAACCGTATTTTGACATCGTTTTCTTTTTGAATGTTTTTGGTAGAGGCTCTATAAGTATCTCCTCTTGTGACCTAGAGTACAGCTGGCCCTTTATCTCTGTGTTAGAATGTACGTCACTGTATACCTGACTGTCTTCAGACCAGTATTCTGCTATTCTCAGTTGTATACAGACGCGTCGGATAATTTCAGACAGTTTTTACTTGATATTATTCTCATATAAATTGAAAAATGGCCGAAATTTGCATCATTTACGACTAATCGCTGTCAGAGGGAGCGACTGTTTGCGACGAGCGCGGTATTAAAACCTTACGTAACGCCAGTATCGAGCGAAATGATAGAAAAATTACATTTTTGCGGAATGTTGAATCGATCAGAGAACACGTGGTATGTCTCAAAGAATATACTCGTGCAAGTAGCATTACTGCTGCTAAAAGGGAGCGAGATGCTGAACCCAGCACCTCGATCGTTAGCCCTCCTCGGTGAAGAATGCGTTCTACCGAGAGCGAGCAATTTGAATTTGTCAAAAAATCATCATTTAAATCGACTGTGCTTGCTATAGCTCAAAAGCGTAATGATTCTCTTGGTAGAGTAGTTAAAAATGGCAACATTTTTGAAGAGGATTTAGTAGCAGTAAATGCAAAATATCATGGTTATTGCGTCTCTTTTGCACCATCTTTAGCTGCCCAAAAGCATGGGAGACCTCAAAAAATATATAATTACATTGAAAATAATGATGACTGTCAGTTCACTTTATCGGAACTTAAAAAGGTATGTACTGATTTTGTACCTGATGATGTTACTGTAAAAACAAAAATTGTTGAAAAGTACGGTAAAAAAGTCGGCAGTACAACAAAGAGTCGAAGTTCAACGATTATTTGTTTCTCCCATTCGATGAGAATATAAACCCCATGAATTTCATATGCTTGAGGTTGGCGAAGACTTAGATGATGCTGCATCTTGTCACATTGATGACTAACAAAAAAGGAACAATAACATCATTTTTTCACTCTGCCTTTGTCGATTAGGATTATTGGGGAGACCACATGGAAAAAAGTACGTTATTTTACAATTTTCTCAATGTTCAATATTGAAAGAAAAATTTCTTTGAAAAAACGATCTCTACGAAAAAAATGCATAAAACCTTTTTTGTGGATAATTTACTGAACAAAACAGGAATGGTTCATTTTATCATAGAATTGATATTTCCGAAGATATATGGAAAAAGTGTTTTTTGTAACCTTTGACGCCCCTTAAAAAAAGTTCGACTTGGATTCATGGGGACTTTTGAGGGATGATTTATAATGCTGAAAAGAGGCTCTAGTAAAAAATTCAGCCAAGTGAGATTTTTTCAGCAGAGAAAGTCTAATAGTCCTGGGCTAGTATAGTAATCAATCTGTTAACCAAGTTACCAAGTCTGTGTATAGTAATCAATCTGTTATCCTAGTTACGGAATATTAGTCACAAAATATGTTATATCCAGAACTCACTTTTTCGTTGTGCAAAATTCACTCCAGTGATGTATTACAAGCAATAATTCATGAAGTCGGGTGCAAAGGGAATTAACGTCTATCTTTGTCAATTAACTGCATGCATGGAAACAAGCTTTGATTGTACCAGTCTCCAAAAAGCTTAAGCCCACTGGATTCACCGACCTAAGACCTATCGGTTTACTACCAATGTTGTCTAAAATACTGAAGAGCCTGGTAAAATTGCAACTCACCACTTATCTTGAAAAATACACAATACTTCTGATACCCAATCTGGCTTTAGACAAAATTATAGTACAACCTCCGCGCTTCTTGATTTACAAAATAATATTTTAGGAGCGTTAGACAAAAAGTTGCATTAACGTTATATCTATAGATTTCTTGAAAGCTTTTGACTGCAACAATCATGTCATGAATTACTGTTATCTAAATTAAATTACATAGGTATTGATAGTTTAGCTCTTTGATTTCTCAGAAGTTATGTTGATCAAAGGACTCAATCTGTTTGCAATAATTAAAAATGTAACTACAATTGCTTCAAGACTCTGTGCTAGGACCGTTATTACGTCTGATATATTTTTGAATTGAACAAAATCCTTGATAATTCACGTACCCATCTTTCACAGACGATACACAATTGTTACATTATTTTAATCCCCAGAATGTCGAAAATACTGTAGAAGTTTTACAAAATGATGTTAATAATTTAATCCAATATTCGTCTGATCACAATCTGGCTGTCAACCGTCAAAAGTTTGAAATGTTATTATTTTGTCCCCAAAAAAAGAAGGATGACTCACTCTTGAAGGTCCAAATGAGTAAGCAAAACTTACAGTTCCCGGATTCTGCAAAAATGTAGGTGTTGTTTTAGACACAAAATTAAGATTTATCGAACATGTCAAAAGTATTTCACGGAAAATGTATCTAAGGCTACGTACTCTAACTAACTGCACACAAATATCCTTTAAATTTCAAGTTACGTAAAAATTATGTCAATCCTCAGTCATATCTGTTAATTCATCCAAAATAATTGAGTTCGTTTTATTTTTAGACTTCGCAAATTTGATCATGTATCAGCAAAATATCCAATACTCAATTGGTTGAAAATAATTGATTTAGTCAAATGCAACTACTCAGTTTTTATTCCAGGTGGAAAACTTGTGAAAAAAATCATTTAACAACAGACAGATAAAATTATTGGGAAACTTCAGTATACAACAACCCTATTTCAATTCAGTTTCTCCTACAATGCTGCCACGATATGCAATTCTTTACTAAAATTGTATAAACAATATTAGTTTTTCGACAAAAAGAGAAACATGCTTTTTACTTTGCTTTTCTACTTTTCGGTGTACTTTGCTTTGGAAGGTATGCCAGTTTTCGCTTTATTGTAATAATTTATTACTAAAAATTAAAACTTATCTTGACTAATATTTCACTATTATTAATATCTGCTAGTAATCTTTATGGTTAAACGTAAAAGTAGCAAACGCTAAATTTCGCGATTTAAGTCTCTCCTTGGCTTCATTACAATATTGTCTTAAAGAAATATTATTATTATTGTTAAGAATATAAACTTTCTGATTCACTAAATTCGTCATAACACTTAAAAATTCAAGATGAAAACATAATGAAAACATAATTCCATTTTTCTCAAATGCTCTATAGTTAAAATTTTGGGCTTGCAGCTCTCTTATTGCAGATATTTTTACGAAATAGAACGTACATTTATAATCCGAAATAACTTGTTTCGGGATTTTCCGTAAATATGTATATTAGTCAAGATAGAGAGTTACAGCAGGGGGATGTTTTATACTCAACTTTGTACCCCTGTCTGAGCAGCATTTGAAAAAGCGATCCAACTGTATTAAAAATGGATAGTGGTATCACTGTTTGAAATGTACAGAGCATTATTCTTGATCGTACAGCTTAATAAATGTAAACAAATACCGGCATAACTGTTGTTTTCAAGACTTTCAAGAGTATCATGATTATGTAGCTGTTAAGCATGTGTAAAAGTGGTTGAAGAGAATCATGCAAGGCGTGTGTAAGAAATTAAAGGAATATAGCGTTATTTCATGCATAAAGAATTCTGCGCAACGAGGGAGAATTTAGATTTTCAATATGAATTTTTGAAGCCGCAAGTCAAGTTTAGTTGTTGCATGTTCTACTTGATAACCAGTTTTTGAATGGGCTTGTCAAACACAGTATCATAATCTATGATTTGTTTTCATTTCATGTTTAGGTGTTATGTGCACAAAAATATCAATTTCAAATACACTTATTTTAAGTTATAGTTAAGGTTATGAGCGAATACACTTTCCCTTTTGCGCTTTGCCGAAACCGCTTATTTAAGAGATTTCTTGCTACGTTTCAAAAGCATTGTCTCGATCTTCCTCATTTGTATGACTGAGAAAGTCCTTCAAGTATACGCTAAATATAAAAATAGAATTAGACACATAACACCTATCTTCAACATAAATTTTGCTGTCCGGTAGTCAAATAAGCATTTGGTTCTTCTACAATCGATTGCCAATAATTATTGAAGAAGATTCCAATTTTCCCAGGTTGTTTGCTTTGCCCAGGTTTCCATCATATACCTTAAAAGGATGTTGAAGCACGCAAAGTTAAGACATGTTAAGTCAATATTTAAGTGTAATTTTCAATAACGAGTAACATAAATATGATTGGTATGACTATTATTAACACTTTGACTGCCACACCAAACTCACCAGATGGCTCGGTGCGTCACACTAGTTTTTTATGAAGATGCATTTGAAATGGTTTGTCAACACACCTTAGATACATCATCTATATAATTGGATTGTATTTTTTATAATTTGACTAATGTACAAAAAATATACACAACATTTCTTTGTTGTCCGCCGCGTATATAGGTTTGGATACACTCGTCAGAATTGCCATTTCTTGTCCATAACAGTACCGCTGATATAGTAATATACAGTAATGGTCAAAAGTATATACACAAATTAATATTTTGATGTATTTCTTTCATAACTTGTTTTATTAATACACCAACCTGTATACATAATTCGTTATAGCATAATACTCACTTATACATAAATAAATTCATTAGACTCCCTTCAATAAAAAATGAATTGAAAAAACTGGAACTATGAAGGAAAAAGCAAAACAATTATAGAAAAAAGAAGCAAAGTTCATTGAATTATAGAAAACCAACCATGCTTGCGTTAATATTTTATAGCATAACCATTATTATCAATCACCATCTGACATCGTCTTGGCATAGATTGTCGAAGTTTTTTGATATAAGATTCATCAATCTGTCTCCACTTTTGCTCTAAAGTGGTAAAAAGTCCATCCTTGTTTGAATAATTATTGTCTCGTATTTGCTTATCTAAGTATTCCCATAGATTTTCAATGGGGTTTATATCGGAAGAGTGTGAAGGCCATTTGAGAACTGGTATTTTTTCATCCAGAAAGAATTTCTTTGCGAGATTTGAAGTGTGCTTCGGGTCATTATCTTGCAGGAAGATTGATCTTAAGGGCATATTGTCTTCCATATAGGGTAGCATGACATGCTTTAGTATGTCTGTGTATACAAACTTATCCATAATGCCATGTCTGCTATGTAAAGGTCCCATCCCAAACCCCGAAAAGCACCCCCAAACCATAACAGACCCGCCTCCATGTTGACAGTGCAAATTGTAACCGGTCCTTACGGTTTTTCCTCGAGATTAGCGGCTTCTTACTTGGGCGACGTGCAAATAACTTCAAATCATTTAATCTTCTACTTATAGCTTTCGTAGAAATACTGACAATTCCTTTTGTCTCGATTTCGGCTTTTATTTGTCTTGGGATTTTAAACGGATCTTTGGAGGAAATTACTTTTATTAATCTAACTAATCTAGCATTTAGTTTTCTATGCCTACCACTTTCTCTTAGAGGCTTCCAAGATACCTTTTTGTTTATATTTGTTCAATATTGCCCAAACTGCTTTACGCTTCAGCTTCAAATTTTTGGCAATGTCGACTTGACGTTGACCATCTTTGTATAACTCAAGTTTTCACATCGAAAGAAATTTTTGGACCACGCGGCATGTTCTTAAAATCACAATACTTCATGAACACAAAAGAATCCTCTTTTGACACGAAACTGTTCTAAACTAATGTTGAAAAGAATTTATCTCCATATTTTTGTCCCTCATAAAAAAGTGCTTATATTCAGACTTGTATTGTGTTCATTGCAGATAATGTAAAAACAAGGAATTTAGTTTCTCTACTAATAACGCATTTGTTTATGGAGCAATGCAGTATGAATTCGTTTTCTAAAGGTATTTAGGTAAATATTCATATATTTGTCTATATACTTTTGTCCATTACTGTACATATGTTAGTTCTGCTCTAAATGTCGCGTTGCGCGGTTCATTCATGACTGGTACACTAGCATAGAATTAGCTGAAAAATTACGAGGCAGGAAAACGCACCTAGTGGGGACCCTACGAAAACATGGTATAGCTCTTCCGAAAGAAATACTGTCCACTAAACTAATGAAAGGTAAAACTGTATGGAGAGAGAAAAACGGCATCGTTGTTTTCAAATGGAAGGATAAGCTTATACTTACAACTAAGCATAAACTCAACTTCGTTGAAGTCTCAAGCAGAACTGAGACCAACAGGAAGCCGGAAGCTATTGTGGCTTATAATAATGCAAAAAGCTTTATCGATGTATCCGACCAGTTGTCATCCTACTCTACCTCAGACGGAGTATCAAATGGTACAGGAAGGTGACCGTTGAGTTACTTAGTGGAACAAACATAGTAAACGCCCGTTATTTATATAATAAGAATAAAAACGCACCAGAAAGAATAAGTGTAGCAGACTTCAAAGAAAAATTATGATTGAAATTACTTTCAAAAGTTAAACAAAATTTTGATCCCCATGGCACACCCGCAGAACATAAATTTATTCAAACAGGAAAAAAGTAGTTGCGTAGTTTGCTACCAACGAAATAAAGATAACCACGGACGACCTTATGCAATAAGTAAAACAAAACAAGTTACAACTAAATGCCAAGTCTGTGAACTGAAATTTCTTTGCTTAGAATGTTTTTTTGATAAGCAAAATATTAATTGAACATTATTCGAAAATATGTTTTATTATCTTATTTTGTAGAACGATTTTGTGTTGATGGTGTTGGATTTAACCTTAGGTTGATAGTATAAATAATGTCATGTAATATCTATTTTTGCTTTTGTTAAGAATGTTCGCTTCGAATGATTAAGAAGCATGTCTTTATTGCATATTCTACCGTATTATTAGTTAAAATAAACACCTTTATATCAAAACTGACAGTTTATTGGCATTTAAGTTATGAAAAAGTCTGTTACTATTAAACTGTTAATAGAAAAATAGAGGAGTTTTTTTTCTCAGGCTAAGATTATTTTTGATTCGGCCCAGGGCACGCTAAGTTATATCCAATTAAGAATATACGTGAAATGTGCCCCTGTAAAATACAGGTGGCTCAACTTTCTTCACTGACTGTGTATATTTATATAATAATAATAATGTTTATTGGAGTATTAGTACATAATAGAATCAAAATATATACACGTGGCGGTCTGAGCTCAGCCATTATGTATATTCAGGTATACACATGGCAGTCAAAGATTTAAGTTATTTTCGACTAACTAAGTACATAGGTCAGAACATTTTTTCGGGCTTTTTCCATTACTATTGTACTAATTATGTGACAATTTATTAAAACTGTGAAATTCACTTGACATCTCAATTTTTGAAAACCTTAAATACTATATTAAACCCCAAAAGTTCTTCAAACCTAGTTTTCTTGTCAACGTCAGTTTGTATTATCTAGAAAATCTACAAAATTGAATTGTGTGAATTATGAGGTTTTTGAAATGATTCAACTCTAATAGCGCCTTCAAGTTATTGCTTAATGATCATGGTTTACTTACTGCGTATTTGAAAAACATTTTCTACAATGATATCCTCAGCTGGTTGGCTTACACTGTACTGGTCAAAGTGATGATTTAGACTACAACGCTAAAACGACTATCTTTATTATTTATTTTATACATATAAATGTATATACAAAGCGCACCCAACAGGCCAACCACTTATAATAATATTTACTTTGAATATTTATTTCTGTGAATGGTCCGCGAAAAAATCTCGTGTTTTCTGAGAATATCGGCAATCACTTATTTACCAAAGTCCTTATCTGTCAAGGTTTCGAGTGTTAATCACTAATTGGGTCTTACGCAAATGACTTATTAGAAATCTTCAATAATGGGAAGTTTTTGAATACAAGTTATTCAACATATGTAAACATAATAAATATACAGGGGGTGTCGCATTAAATGTTCTGCGAAAAAATCTCAAATGACGAGAAGAAGACAGTTGATGTCTGGATCCAACAAATATCTATATAGGTATGTACCTATATTGAGAGGTCAACCATTAACTATCAGAAAAATCCAGTGATAATCAGTAAATTCGAATACTACAAAATCTGCGACTTCTAGGCTTCTTTGAATCCACTGGATAGCTCAACACACCAATATCGCTATTGGTTTAATTTTTATTGAAATCGGATTTGAGGAAACTGAATAAGTTATTCACTTATTTTTTGACAAAGTGATGATCGAAAATATTCCAGCGTCAAAAAATTTAAACATAGGAGACGTCGAAAAGAGGTTTTTTGACATATGATTAAAAATGCAACAAGTACAGTGTGTTACGGATAAAATATTAGTCGAAATTCCACAAACTCTATGGATATTATTCATACATTAGCCCACATATCACCGAATGCACCCAAAATTTTCCCAATTTCCAAAACTGTGTGTGTTATACCCTCTATCAATTCAGTGATAACTGAATCGATGATAACAATTATCTTTTTTTGGACATCTTTCAACCTTCATATCCTAAACTAACTTTATTCATGTAAATTTATATATCCTACATAATATCAACCAAATTCTAATGCATCTTTATAACAAATTCATGGACAATGAATATTGGCTATTGAACAACGGATTTTGCTCCTCTATGCTCTATTCGAGTAAGGATTCTAATTTGAGTGTTACGAGCGTTACTTCTAGAACTTTGGAAATATCTGCACCTGCACCTTCATTACAGTCAATGTACTTCAGTATTTAAGCTGTGCCATTGTGACTGCTGCAGTATAGAAAATACACCAGCAACATCTATAATATCAATTTTGAATTTACGCTATAAAAGCTTGCTTGCGAACAATCTTGTGAAAGTTAACATACTACGGGTGCGATCTATGCAGTGATACTTTCTCAATAACTTTACTTGACGCATGCAGATGGTGCTAGCAGCAACAATTTAATTTTTTACGACCGAAACTACCAGGTATTGTCATATTCTAAATGGTTATTACAAAAATTACATACTGCGACCTTGTTTATCATCCATTTTTAGATTCAGTTTCCGTCAAGCGCTTACAAAAAATTCAAAATTCATGTTGCAGATTAACCTATAACTTGAAAAGATATGTCCTCCTTACCTCCTCGTTCATAAAATTGGAATGGCTTAATATTCCTAGCCTATTTAAGTTTCATTTACTGTTATATTCCTAAGCTTTTACTTACCGCAATTCCAGCATGTTTAAAATATAAGTTAAAATTCCGTGGTTCGATGCAGTTAGGAAATATTCATTTGGTAGATATGAGCCCCCCAGAGTAAGGTTCTTTGCACTTTGGTTTTTGGATGCAACTGGTTATGGTTTTGGCGCCACCTAGTTCCAAGTACTAGGAAGAGAAATAACAAGTATGTATGGATTTCTGGCGCTAAAGGAGATACAAACTCACTAAGTACACAAACATTTATTGAACAAAAGAGATAAAAAAAAGAAATTTAAAAAGAAGATCTGCAGGACAAGCTAAAGAAAATTATTTTGTATTACTCCCCTAGCTAAACGGTTTCCAGTAACTATTAAAATAAAAAAAGGCCACCTAGATAGGTGCTTGGCTATTTCCGGTAGGCAACCGAGAGCAGCAAGTCCCAGATGTAACCTGAAGGTAGAACCCGAAGGTAGAACCCGAAGGCAGAACCCTGAATAGAAGACAGCACTTTCTAAAAATAACCCGAAATAACGATTTGACTAATAATCCCTCTTTTTAATTTGCTTCCAAGAATTAAACATTTAACTTTAAAATATAACCATTTAGTCTTGGGTCACATCAATTCAAAAATTTAAAATTAAAACAAAGCTGCTGTTCAATCACGGTGTACAAGGATTGCACTAGCAATACCCAAATTTTTAAATTAAAATAGTCAGATACCTGTAAACAACATAAAGACCCGGACAACAATATTTCATGTCGTCCCTCAGCTTATAAGCAATTAAAGTGTTACTTGAGAACCACAGGAATATTTTACCTCGTGAGCACGACTCGCTCAAATTTCAGTAAATATACAACCAAAATCAGAATACAGCAATACAAAAATAACACTATGCATGTTCTATGATACAGAACAATATACCTATAAATGGTACCAATAAGAAATCCAAAACATTTTTCTCTTTTTACTACTAAATAGGTTGATGAATTAATAGCTTTTGACGAATTCCATATTGACCTAAGCAATGGACAATTGAATGGTTAAAATATAATCCCAATGTTACATAAGAACGCCTAAGCTGGTACAAATAAAATTACTGATAGTTTTATGCTCAATTTTTGAACGAAGTGATTGCGTTTTCAATTTGTGCGAGATTAAGTCAGGCCTAGCAAAGTAAAAAAAAAATAATTACCTCTAAAAATAAGGGTTTACATAAATGGGACGTGAGTCCTACTTAAATTCGCGTCGGATTATCACCGTAGACGGTTCTCCTATATAGAATTAGGAATCAATTTGAGGAAATGAACATGTAGCTTGGAGAAAATGGTCACTTACCAGCTTGATGGTTGAGTCTAGTTATGTCTACGGCCGAGAAAAGGGTTCCGACAAAAAAAAAGACTAAGGCCAATTTCACCAACAACAGTCCGTTATTCTCCACCTATAGGGTAACAGAGCGTCAAATACAACGAATGAGCTTCAAGTTCCAATCAACAAATTTTAGCAACCAACAGCTATGAAATGATAAGTACGAAATACTGTCAAAGTATGAGATGACAGCTTGTCATTGAAACATCACCAGCTTATTGATGATAAGAAATTACATATAATTCAGTCAAAATTTAAAGAAATGTTGGATTTTTGAATAAAATTCATGTTTTAATTGCTATTCTTGATTTTTTATTCATGTTTATATTATTTTCTTCAATTGATATGCGATACTGGGTGTTTTTTCCTATAAACCTCTTGCAGATAGCCATTAAGCACCTACTTGATGACAGGCTCTACCAAAAGATATTGCTCGTTTCCAAACATTCATTCATTTACTTGCCGTTCATCAGAACCATTATGGTACCTTAGATTGATATTCCCACAAAACCATTCAGGTTTTTTGATATCCATACATCCATAAAGTTGAATATTTTTCGTTATTCCGGAACTGAACAAACATCCACACTATATTCACAGCGATTAAGAAATTCCCAAATATATGCCTTAGCTACCAGCAAACCTAAAACCTGCAAAAAACTACAAATTTGCCATATTTTTCTTTTTTCACGAGTACACATTCTAGGTTATATTTCTATTAGACATTATTTTAATACAGCTGATTATTGCATTTCAAGGAGTGACACATGTGTGGGATCTGTCAACTCTTGGTACCAGTCACAAAACATATACTCTGAAGGTTTAATTCCATGCTATTCAATGACAACATGGTGACTTGTGTGGTTTGCAGCGGCCACTTTGTGAGAGTGCGACAGGGTTGCCAGATTGTGCACTAATATCCCGTTTCACCCTCCCAGTGGAGTAAGTTCCGCCAACTGATGAAATATACTCTACTATGCTTTATAAGACTATTTGTGACATTTTTCATTGCACAACACTTGAAAAAATGCAAATGAAAATTTAAACATATTTCCATGACGCCACAAAATAGCTCCGTCGGTACCTCGGGTTATACATCTTGCCAAATCAGACATATCTTTGATCATTTTCAAAGAAATTGTACAGAATCTTCAAATTTGTGAAGTTAGCGAGTTTCACTTCATACGTTGTTACCAGACATGCCCAAATCATCAGTAGCTGCCGTGATATTCATCCCGACCACTGCATCCCCATGGCTAGGCGACCTGTATGTTAAATTTGTATTGATAGGGCAGCGGGTTATGCTATAAATCATATGTCACAGCTTTTGTGCACTGATTACAACGGTTAGATGATACCAAAAATATTTTCATAAATAGGAGATCTCTCCCGTTCCGGATCGAACAATCCACCAAAGATGCTTATAATCATGATACCTAGTAAATTTACATGAAAAATCCTCTGTATGTAGGTATATAAGAGCTTTCTTATATTTGTTCATCAATTTGATGATGCAACACATCTGCTAAAAATGATAATAATCAGGATAGTAAACTATGACGAAGGTCTACTATATGTAAGAATTTTCAGATACTTCATTTGCAATTTGACAACAGACCATGACGGTGTTCACATTTTTCAAATATTCTTCAAGAAGTGTTATCAGTCTAGCTCCAACTATCATAGATAACCCCACCAGTGAATAAACATCCTTACACATATTATCTGTGTTTTAGGATGGAGAGGACATAATGTTTTTATTGCTTTGAAGACATTCATTAACCCGTAAATTAATAAATGATTACTATTAAGATTTAAAGCAAGATGAGGAATTGGATGGAATGTATTTTATATTCTATTTTCTTGCAAAATACAGACAAATCCACATTATTCAATAGGTATGTAATGATAACAGTATATTGAACTTAAATTCGAGATTGCCATGCATTAACAAACGTCCAAATCTGATGCCAAATTTAACAGCTAGAAAATCGACCTATTATTTGCCGCATTCCCATTGGCTTTTGGGGATAACTGATTGTTAAATGTTAATTTATAACACAAATCAAAATACATGAAAGTTGACCTGTTTTCTCTGTACAAAAGCATCATGCTGGAATCAAGAAGTGGTCTTGTTTATAATACAGTCGAATTTTCACGATTTTATTCAATATTTTAATAGAAATCAC